CTGGCAACATCCTGAGGCACAGAGCAGCTTCAGCGGAGGCTGAGCTATTCATAGGCCAGCACGCCAGCCGGGAGTGAGCTCATGAGCTCGCAGCTTCCCAGCACCAGCTGCCAGCTCGGCTGGGACATGTAAAGGGAGCGAGGGAAAATGCATGTGGGAGGAGGGAGGCGCAAGGGGGAACAGAGAGGGGACAGGATCTCAATTGCTAATATCTCATGTCAGGACCTGCCAAAGTCACGTTAGAGGTCTCGGTGTTTACAACTCCGCAGTAAAGGATGGCAGGGTTTGCATTGTGTGAGATTGCTTTGCTCCAGGCTGGCATTTGGCGCTACGACTGCCTGGTAGGGGCAACTCGGAAGGAGCAATGTGCTCTGAGGAGGGGCATTTCTATTTCCCAACAGACCAGCCAAAATGATCAGCACCTGCCTCTCCTCTCAGTAGGATATCGGAGTGGTACCTGCTAGCCCAGGGCTACCTACCAAAGCCAAAACAAAGAGCCAGCAAGGAGTCTAAAGATTACGGCTATTTATTTATAGCAACTGCTGCAAGTTTGGTGACCATCCATTTAATAACCACACCTCATACACGGGCACATTCACACTTATAACCATTTGTTTTGACATGTCACCTTAATGTAGATCTTCCTAATATCTGAGTTAGCTTTACACACTTCAGCAGCCTGACCAACTTTAAAAAAAATTGCTTTTAACATCAGGACTTCCGTTACAACCAAAAAATCAGTGTATCTGAATTAAGATGGCTGGGGCTGCAACCAGAGTGACCATCGGTACCTGAACTGAGACATACCAAAAAGTGGACTGTTGTGCTCTCGTGCTTAGCATGTCTTGTGGTACTGTTTTGGTGACAGTTGAGAAGGCACTGTGAGCTTCATTCCATCAGACCATATATTAGGGCCTTTAAGGCAGAGATATAAAAGTAAAAAGACAAGGAACACACTTTACCTCAGCTTTGTCCAACCAGGCCACACTAGTATCACAACAGTTAAGTGATGCTGAAGGATATAAATGTTATTATGAGGCACCGCACCACAGTAAGTTTCCCCATACCCCTCTCTGCACTGCTCAGATGCTGGTTTGGTGCCAAACGTGCACCAAACAGCCATGCTATGCCTCAGCATCTCTTCCCACAGAAACAGGAGCAACACAGGCTCTGTTACTGCAGCCTTCCTATCCTCCCTCTAGGTCCCAACCATCCTTCACACTCACAGAGCAAGACTTCCACCTGTATGTGGTCAGCACCTACTGGAGGAAAGGGGCACTATGAATGAAAATTGACAGCCGACGTGATTGGCAGGAGGATGGACCCCAAATGCCATTTTAAACACCAGCCTTCAAAATCCCCAAAAGGCAACTGCTGTGTGTTCTCCCACGTATCCCAATCATCTGGGACATGCAAAGGGACACACAGCACACCTCTTTGTTAGTGCTTACAGACATTTCTCCAAAAGTGTTAATATCATGAGAGCCGGCAGTATTACTTGTGGTATCATGGAAGATCAAAATGCTAATCAGTTGTCACCAATTCAAAAGCACTCAAACGTGGTGATTTTAACACACCCCTCAGGGAGCTGTGATTCTCTTCCCAAGCTGATTATGCCACATAGCCCAGCTCAATGAAGGGAAGTACTGAGACACAATCTCCCAGAGCAAAACAGGCAACTACAAACCCAAAGACATCCAAGCATCAGTATCACAAGCACATTTAAACTTCAGTGCACTGATGAAGGTCTTCAATTGCAGGTAGGTTCCACAGATCTCATCTTCCTGCAGAAACCAAGACCCATTTTAAGCCCACAAAGTGCAAGCAGAAGGCTAAAAGGAGCTGCTGGCTCCACCTCTGGAAGGAATTGCTGGAGGAATGGCACCAAATTCCCACGTGTCTCCTTGACATGGGAGGCTGCCTTCACAGCTGCAAATCCAAACGGGCTCTGAGAGCCTCCACTGCTCAGCAGCTGTACTGGCTATTTTCTGCTGAACCAGGGCCCCAGTATTTTCAGCCAGAGAAAAGCTGCCTTGAACTCACACACACCCAAGGGCCTGTGTATAAACTGAACTTTGTGAACCACTAGTGGCATTTTTCTCTGCTATGTATAACTAGGAAAAAATGGGATTTTAATAGATTTGTTTTCAACCTACTTTAAACTCACAAAGATATGAGGCCTTATGTCATCGTTATAGTTACTACATGTGATCCTGTGTGTGTTATGAAGAAGCAAGCTAGAAATGAGTACTGGATGAACTCAAAAGCTTGCAACTCCTCTGCCAAAGCAAAGTCTGTCACAAGTTGCTAAATACACAACCACGCAAGTTAAAGAGACCCACATACTGATAAGTCAGTATTTCAGGGCGATGAGCCTACTGTGCATCAGCTATGAACCAAAAAGTCTTTAATCTTTGCTCTGCTGTGGACTTCATGCATGGATTTAGAGTAGGTCACTGTTTAAACCTTCATTTACCCCCTCACTCCTCTTCCCCCTGAACTGAGATCTGCAGATTGTACCTATACTCTTTCCACAGCTGGGAGTATAAACACGTTGAAGACCGTGAACTGCTTAGACACCACAGTGATCACGCACTGCCAGGTTTTGATAAAATTATACTATCAGGCCAGTATTTTACAGTAAAACCATTTGGGGGTGACAGAACTAGAAATAAAAGCACCGATGTATGCAGGCACAGAAATCCTGACTCTGGGCAGCAGGCATGTACCAGATGCAGCCTGCTGTTTCCCCACCACAGAGAAGACATCATCAGCTCATGTCTTTTCTGCTCTTTACTATATATGTTTAAGCTTTAAAGTAAGCTTTCTGCTATTGCACAAAATAAGACAGGCTTTCAGCTCGCTCTCTGACAAAGCAACCTTTAGCTGAATGAAGTTGCTGGACTGGCAGCCTCAGATGTCCACCAGTTCCCCAAACATGCTGAAGTGGGATAGGCATAGTGGTAAAGATTTTATTAGCACCACAGGTCTGACTAAAAGGGGAGTTTTGCCAAGACCAGATATATCTGTTAAGTAGCCTCATTAAAACACCCTACATAAGCTGAGGCTGCTCTGAATCAGGCCAGCAAGATCTGTTCCTAAGCACCTCAAAAACTGCTCTGTAATTCAAACTGAAGACTCCAGATTTTCAGAAACTGGAAAAAAAGCTCACCTCAACTTTTTACACCTCTGGATATACAACTTCACACTGACAAGATTTTCTTAGTATAACAGGAACACCTTCACTTGCTGTTTGTTGTAAACTGGCCAGTTTACCCTCTTAACTTTTGAGGAGGCCAAGGGTCACCTGGGTTTGTACTCAGCACATTCACACAGAGTGGGATACCACAAAACCACTTTAGTTAAGGTAACACAGAGCTAACAACACATATGCTCATTAACAGCAGCAAGCCCAGCACTAGGAGTTTGAGACGGCATCCCCAAATACACTGTGCATATGTACAGTAGTGCTGGGGTCACTTTCACACTTTCCAATGCTCATTATTAAAAAAAAAAAAATTAGTTGCACGTTAACCAAATGCTTTCTTTCTTTGAGCGCTAAATCCTCATTTTGTAACCTACTTAAGCAACATTTTACAAGCTGTGTTTTGAACCAATTACTATTGAAAAACAGGACTATGACAGTAATAAGAAATGCACTCAGTTGGCATAAATTTGACTAGTTTGTGTTTATGTCAGCGAGATGACAACCATGAAGTCAGTCTTTGTGGGAAGAGTCTCACCCTTCAGGGTATCAGCTTTCGGGAAATGGGGCTGTTTCCTACAGTCCTTATGGAATTAATTATATTACCAATTTCAGGCCTAACAAAGATATAAAAGACCATTCAAATGCTGATTCCCTTACCTAAGGTTATATGTAGATCTAAAAAGGTACACTAATTCAGGCAGCAGTTGTTCAATTAAGTATAGGAGTAACATGGTTAAAAATTACCACTTCAGCCTATGCGAGTCCAGTGAGATTATCTTACTAGTTGCTCTTTACAACAAGGAAGCATGTCTGAGGTCATGTGAGACCAAAGCACATGCTCATGGTGCAAGAAGAAGTTTTAATATAAGGAATACACAACTTTACAGAAACCCAAGCAGCATTTCCATGTATACTCCACACCTCCTTAGGTCAGGCCCTTCACAAACTTTCCATTAAGGCATCCCCAGAAAGCTGGAAGTACTCTAACCCCGGAGAAGACCATACTCGGCCCGCGGCTGGTGCCGTGCAAGTTAAGTTAACAAAAAGGTGACTTGAATCATGGAGCCCTTTAGAAACCACTACACCAGTGATCCCTCCACACATCCAGCATTTTATCCATCATTAAAGTTACTTAAGAGCCATGCTGACATCACAGCATCTTTCACAACCGACTGTAATCTTAACCAAATGAATCACTTGAATTGTTTGGGACAGCAAAAGAAACCCAGGTTATCTCAAAGGCAGTGGCTGAGATATTTTTTTCCCACGTTATTATTTTACACCTTCAGTTTGAACAACTCTTTATAGCTATTTGAGCGCTGTAAAGCACAAACAAGGCAAGCTGCGGCAGCCTGGCTCTCCATCCGACCCGAGGCGGCCGAGGCAGCGTGTTCCCTGTGTGCTGAACGGGGCATGTTCTCCCAACTGAAGGCCGGCGGAGGGTCGGCACCCCAGGGGGGAAGGGGGCTGGCCGGGGCCGATGCCCCGGCACGGAGCAGTGCCCTCCAGGCGCAGGGCATCCCTCCGCCCCCGCCGGGCGATGCCGCGGCGCCCCGGCCCCAGCACCGCTAAAAATAAAGCCCGTCTCTGCCTGCCCCCCCCTCGGGAACCGGGGTTGGATCGATGGTTTTCTTTAAAATCTGGATTTTATCAATCCCCCCCTCCCCCGCCAACCCGGCTCCGAACCGCCCAGCTCGGACCGCAGCCCTGCGAATAACTTCGGGGATGGCCGGGACCGCCGCCGGGCGGGGGGACGGGGCCGGGGGGCCCGAGGGCAGCGCTCGGCACTCACCTGGCCGGCGGTGTCGTACAGCCCCAGCAGGTACTGCTTGCCCCCGACGGTGACGCTGACTGCGAGAGGGGAGAAAGAAACGCAGCGGGTGAGGGGGGGGGGCACCCCCGGCCGACCCCCTCCCAACGCCCCGGCAGCGCCAGGCCGGGGGATGGAGTCAGGAGGGAGGGGGGAGCCGGGGCGGCAGCCGCAGCCCCCCGCCCGCTCACCTGCGTAGTGGTCGAACACGGTGGGCACGTACTCCTCGGGGAAGGCGTCGTTGGCGTAGCTCATCAGCAGGCACGTCTTGCCCACGGCGCCGTCCCCCACCACCACGCACTTCAGCATGACCGCCGCGCTGCCATGGGCCATGGCCGGAGCCCGCCCTCATGGCCCCGCGGGCGCGCCCCGCCGCGCCGGGCCCCTCGGCATCGCCGCCGCCGCCGCTGCCGCTCAGCGGGCGCCCCCGCCGGCCCCCGCCGGGCGCGGCCCCCCCGCCATCCGCCGCCGCGCTGGGCCCGGCGGGAGCCGCCTTCCCCCGGCCGCGCAGGGGCAGCGCCCGCCCGGGCGCGGGGCCGGGCGGGGGCGGGCGGCGGGGCTGGGGCCGCCGTGCGGGAGCGGCCGCTCGCCCCGGCCCCGCTGCCCGCACACGCGTGAACGGAACACCCCGCGTCCCCCCCCCCCCCCGCCCCGAGTGGTGCTCGGGAGCCGCGGTCACCCCCTGCCCCACGCGGGCGGCGGGGGCGCGTTCGTTCCGCGCTGACACCCTCCCCTTTCCCCCGCAACCATCGCCCTGCCCGTACAAAGGAAACTCCGGCCGCATCCCGTGGCATTAACCCCTAACTGAACCGATATGTATGGAAATAATCAACGGGATGTAAAAGGATTTTGTTCTGCGCTGGGTTTATTGTCTTTGGAGTCTGAAATTCAGTAGTAGGAATGGGTTTAAGAACACCAAAGTGTGTGGTTTAAACAGTCTTCAGCGCACGTTTGCTAAAGGACCAGGGGACAAGATCTAGAAAGAGGAGGTACTGCAAGAAAAATGAGTGAAATCATGCTCCCACTAGTGTCAGTGGCAAAAGTCTCACTTTTCAGTGGCACTAGATTGTCACCCTAGCAAGCTGTTTCGAACTTCACATATTCAAATGATACAAAAACATTTGCAGTCAGGCAGAAAATAATTGCCTTCTCTAGTCTGTATTTTTTGCAGATTTATGCCATAAACCCTATCCAGCTACAACAAAGCACACACAACAGTGCAAGCCACGTGGAGACCTCTATGTTGTAGAATTTGTGTTTCTATTTGATCTGACATGCTTCCTGGAGAAAATAAATGCAAATCCCACATTGCATAAAGCTTATCTGAATATTCAGTAAAACATATTTTCAAATCAGGACGAAATAGAAAAGTTATTACTTTGCAAGTTTTTCAGTTCAGTGAATCAAGCTTTTGTGCCTTCAGACCACAGAAGGGGCCAAGCAGGACATCCAAGACTGCTGCAGTCTCGTCACAATTCATCCAGAGAGCATCAAACTTACAAATAGACTGAGGCTGCCCCGGGAGGTATTTTCTCAGCCTTTGGAAAATGCCAGCTATAAAAGAAAGCTGGGTTTAGCAAGAAGTCAACCAGCAACCAGCACAGGACTCAGTGCACAGGTCTCCCAAACAACTTTTCCTAATAGGCAGGTATGTCCAGTGTAAGCAGATATTTCAGGATGGGTTTTGGCAGCAGGCCCAGGAAAACTGCTTTACAGTGATCTACCTAGAGGTTCCCAGGTATCCACAAGAGACTTGAAATCATGCAGATACTCAGTGGTCCGGGTAGCATCCACTCCCATTTTGCTGCACTTGCCAATCTATACACTTAGGAGCACCCAACACTTGCAAAATCACCCTAGGCTGCCGTCTGCTCAATCGATGGGAAGTACACTTCCTCCACTCTGCTGCTTGCTTAATTGCTAGTGTTGCTTCTCAAATCCTGTAATCATCATTTTGAACTTGCACAATCTCAGCCAAATGATTCTCATCCAGTCCTCCATCTCACTCAGACAATGGATGGCCAATTAGTCTGCACTAAATATTTAGAGAAAATGAAAATACAGAACTGGCAAACCGAAATGCTCACCTCGGCTCTCTCCTCACCAGCCTGGCTGGTTGCACAGCCAGGGAGTCACATAGCTGCAGGAGTGGGACCTCCTAAAACCTAACAGGAGTCCCACAGCAATTTGAGTCTATAGAATCACCCATAGGGGCGTAGGACTGTTGGTTTCATCCACAGAACATGTACTGTGTTTTTCACCCTCTGCAGATGTCATTTTCCAGCCAGCACCCACAGCACTGCGATAAGGAGGGTGCAACTATGAGGAGAATATATACGCCGAAAGTTCCTGGAAATTGATTTATTCTCTTAAACTTTTCTCACTTTCAGCAGCTTAGAGCCTCTGTTCAGTTGTCAACTGACATGGCTAAGCTATATCAGCGCAATGGATACCTTACCAGGAATCACATCCTTCTTTCAGGTAGATTAGCAATCTGTTCTGTGTCATATGCTTCCATTTTTCAGCAGTACAAATATAAAAAGTGTTAAAATAATTTACCTACCTGTAACAAATAGTAAGTATCTTTATTAAAGACACTAAATCTAGCCATTTTTTCCTTAACTTCTTTCATAAGCTAGTAAAAATAAATGAGTATGAATTGTTAAAAGGAAACTCATCATCTAGGAAGATTAAAATGTATTTTTTTCCCCTCATTCTTTGCTATAAAGTTGTTAGGAAATGAAAAACAGTTCCATCTAGTTTTTCGCAAAAGGGACAATTTCTGAGTAGTTCTAGGTTATGCACTGAACGGTTACTTTAGCATCGCATATGAGTACTAAACAATCCATTTCTTCATTTTAGGTATTAAAATTTTGCTTTTTAGGATTTCTGTAAGATTTCTATATGTATATGGGGCTGAGAACTAATTGGAAAGAAGAAATGTAACTAGATAACCCTGATAAGGCCTGATCCAAATAATTCAGACCAGTAATGGAGGAAGTAAAACAAGTAAAACATGGAGTGGGGCCATGAAGTAGAATCACAAAGTCCTTCATCTGAGTTACCAAGAGCAGGGAAAATAGAAGAGAAAGGGATGGAGCCAAGCCTTAGTGTAAGCAGCAAAAGACCTGTTTGGTCTATGGAATTAGAGAATAAGGGGTGTTAATTGTGTAACCAACACATTTTGAAAAGATAGATCAGATCTGGCTATGTCCATTATTAACATCTCTGAATTTAACCCTGACAAGTACACACAGTCTGGTTATTGTCATCAACTGTGCTGCCACTCTGTGTTGTGAGTACACTCCAGCAGTTCTCTGTCCACATCCTCCTCTTCACCCTGTCAGATAAGCCATGGTGCCTCACTTTGTCACTGGGTTGCTGTGCATCACTAGAGGGTGGTCATGCATCTCATTACAAAGGTGGACATCTTCTCATGTTGGGTGAAATGACTTCATGGAAGTAGCCAGTATTTAGGAAACACCCTTAAAAAATGCCAAGTCCGAGTCAAAGCTGAAAGTGATGTCTGAAAAACACTCAGATTAGTCCCACAAAGTCCATCAGAGGATTAATTTTTCAGGCATCCCTGTCTGTGGAAGATTGGAAGAACCATGGTTTATGGTTCTCTAAAAGAACTTCTAGACTTACAAGGAATGTTAAGTCTTTAGGAAAGTCAATGAAAAGGGTGATGCCATCTGAATGCCCTGTTTGCAGCATATCATCTTTCAGACCAATCAATCTGTCATCCTCAAGCAGAGCTGTCCCTAAGCAGCAGAAGGTTACACCCGAGTGGACACAGCACAAGTCTGGTTTTCAGTCCAAATGATTTACTGTTGTCATAAACGGTGAGAAAACCATTTTTACAGCTTAGGAATCCGATCATTACAGTTTTGCTTCTCTACCCAAGGTTATGGGTAATGCAGAAAATGTTTCTGTATCCCAACTAATACAGAGGAAACAAATCACATATTTCTAATGTTCCAGAAATGGATAGGCAATTCCATAGCTATAGATCCAATTCCTTCTGAATGTCAATTTCCACCCTATCCCCAAAATGTTGTAATCATTTACAAGAGCACTGGTACTAATTTCCTCTCAGCTTAAAGGGTCACGGCTGCGTGCTTGCTTTCCTCACGTGTTTCAAGAACATGGTGATACCTCTGAGAAAAGGCATGCAATATATGACATCAGAATAACACAGGATGACACATTTTAGGTTCTCTGACGCAGTTATTTGAATGTTAGAGCACACTGGCTCTTTACTATCCCTGTAGCAGTTCTCTTCTCAGAATAGGGATAAATGTTGCAAACAGGGGAAACATCACTTGTTCTCTTCAGGGACCAACTTAGTGTGGTCCACTACATGGAAAGTTCCTGCACAGGTCTCTTGAACTGTCTCGTTTTATTACACTGTTGCAGCTTGTGATCCTTTATTAACATTTCCTTTGTTTTTGCTTGGATGTAACTGAGACGGGAGTTTTCAGTTGACTAAAGCAAAATAGTGGCATCAGGACCAAAACTGGAGCCCATTGCTGAGAATGAGATACAGTGTTTTAAAAATCAATTTGCACTAGCCACTGGAAAGTGTCACAATCACTACTCTACCTGCTTTTTCTAAATAAGTGTAGTGCAGGAGCTTTAAAGATGGTCAAATAAAATACATCAGTGGAAACCTTTTCTCTGAAAAGGTAGCTCCTTTGAGAAGAATACCTTTTGAAATCATGTCAGTTCTGTGAAAATGTTTTAAGAACAGCATAAAAATGTTCTGGCAGCTTCAAAGCATACCATTTTTATTTTTTTCAGGGCAAAACATTTGAATTTCTAAATCACTATGGTTTCAATTTTAATTAGCATAGAGTTAGAATACAGTGTAGCATAAATGAAAAGGTGCCATCATTAAGCATTTCAATTAGCTTCATTTTTCTTCCAGAAGTTTTGGGGATTTTTAAAGAATTTTTAAGGATTTCAAGTTTTTCAGATTGAATTCCTAATTAGAACAAAGACAAATCTCAAAAATATTCATAAAAGTGAAATTTTATCCTCTGCATAGCATATGTGCTCCCTCATACTCATGGCATGCTAAATTACGGTAAAATAGCATAGCACAGAATCATAGAATCATTTAGGTTGGAAAAGATCTCTAAGACCAATTGTTAACCTAGAATTGCCAAGTCCATCATAAATCGTGTCCCCAGGTGCCCCATCCACGTCTTTTAAATACCTCCAGCGATGGTGACTCCACCACTTCTCTGGGCATCATGTTCCAGTGCTTGGCAACCCTTTAGGTGAAGCACTCTTTCCTAAATCCAATCTAAACCTCCCCTAGTGCGACCTGAGGCCATTTCCTCTTGTCTTATTGCTTGTTACCTGGGTGAGGAGATTGACACCCACCTCTCTCCAACTTCCTTTTGGGTAGCTGTAGAGAGCATTAGGGTACCCTCTGAGTCTCCTTTTCTCTGGGCTGAACAACCCCAGATCCCTCAGCTGATCGTCATAAGACTTGTGCTGCAGACCCTTCACCAGCTCCATTGCCTTTCCCTGGACATGCTCCAGCACCTCCATGTCTTTCTTCTAGTGAGGGGTCCAAAACCGGGCACAGTACTCGAGGTGGCTGCACCAGTACAGAGGGATGATTCACTGCCCTAGTCCTGCTGGCCACACTATTTCTGATACAAACCAGGATTCAACATCATCATCCAAGTATAACTGCTTAATAAGTGCTGTCCACTTCAGAGTTGTGATTCTTTTAGAATGTGTTTTAAGAATACATATGATTTTGCAGCAATGCTGTATCACTGTACTATTATTAATATTCTTTCTACTGTATCACAATAGTCTTGTGTCCTCAGTTAAGGTGAATATTTGATTTGAATAGGAATGCTCAAATACAGAGGGGTAAACAGTTTGTCTTCTGCAAATTTTATGGTTCCATCTCTGAAGAAATTCAAGGACTGTACAACACGTAAAAAGGAGAGCAAGTGACTGAAGTCAGGGTTCAAATGGACAGGATCAAGCTGGTACAAACCACGGGGTCATACCCTTCTTTCCAGGTTTCTCTGTCCTAAGAAATAGCTGTGAATTTGATTGATTTTCCCTAAATACATTTCTTGAGAGGTAACAGTCTTTTTCTCTAGGGTTATTTATCCCATGCTGACACCTGTAATAGCTCCCAAATTAGTGTTTGCTGCCAAAGTCATTAGCATGCTGTTTACCAGTTCCTCTTAGGACTACTTCACTACAGTTGGAAAAGATGATTCTTTAGGAAGAAAGGAAGGAAAAAGAGAGGGAGAGCTAGAGCAGGGTGGAGGATGCTCCAGGAAATGGAGGCAGATGGAAAAAGGAGGAAATTATGAATAGAAAAGTAGGAGTAAAAGAGATATTAAATAAAAGAAAAAAAGAGAAACAGCCAACCAGAAAAGGAACCAATGTGTCTGGCTCAGTTAACATTTGAGAGGGTACTTAATTTCAAATATGAGAAGTCCACAGACCCAAGCCCATGCCTAAAATTAAGTCTGTGTTTTTTTCAGGCCAACATAACATTCAATTTTCTACACAAGGATTTAAAGCACCAGAGGGTATCCATTGGAAACTTGGTGAGATTAGGGCACCTGCCTCCCATGTGTTTCTTGACAAATCTCAGATTTTAAGATATAGTATTAAAATATAAAGTAAATTATGTCAGATCTCTTTCTGGTATTATTTCATATTCAGTGAAGGAACCTGAACAGAATTAAATTTCTACTCAGCTATTTAGCACTGGGCTAAGTGTCAAGAAGAAACAATTCTTTTCCTCAGGCCAACTTGGTGACAATTCCTTGCAGTTCACCAGACATTTTCTTGGAAATAAAATCTGTATCATGGTGAGGCTTTTTGTACAGCTAGAGTCACCACCATTCTCAGGCACAGAAGAGAGGACTAAGCACTTAACATCCTCAGTTGATGTCACCTCTGTGGCTCCGTATATCACCATAGCATCAGAACAGCCCTTTCTGGGTGTGCCAGCGCTGACTCCTGCCAGTGCTCAAGACTGTATAGTCTGCCGTGGCTGTTATGTACCATGCAGTACCAAAAGGAGAGTGAAATGAAATCTTAAACCTTGACTCACTGCCAGAAATCAGAAGAGGTATTGTTACATGAATGGGGCAGGATTTGCAGGGGGAATACTGCATCCTTCCTCTATTTTGGAATGAAACTAATCCCCAGAATTATCTAGTTCTGGAACGTTAAAATTGAGCCTCTTTGTACCTTTCATGTCATCTTCCGTTCTGCTGGCCTTCTGAAACTGAAGGGCATTGCATGATGAATTTGTAAGGTTACAGGTTTCCCATTTTGTACTTCACTGTACACTAGACTTCGAGAGGGCACCAGGGTCACTTCCATATTGTGTCTCAGATTGCTGCTGGTGATTATCCCAGATGTAATTGTTGGAGGGCAAAATTAAAACTTAAGCAGTCTTTCATTTCAGATAAATTAAAACAATCTTTGAGGACACGAAAAGGCCAAAAGCTGTAACCCTTCAACTAAACTAAATTGGGCCTGAGCCTATTTCAATTCACGAGGACCAGCAGGCACAGCCTGGCCGTGTACATGACACTGATACCACATATCCTGTTGGGAGTGGTGCCTTGTCAAAGCTGACTCCAGCCTGGCATCAGAAGAATTTCCCTGGGAGAATAACAGTGTTGCTCCACCCAAAACTACCCCCAGAAATAGTCTAGGGATGTCATAGTGCTGAGTCTTAGCATTCAACAGCATATTCTGGCTTTGTTTAATTTACTAAGATAGATGTCATCATCGCAAGGTCTGTCTGTTCCAAAGTTCATTTTTACTGAGTTGCACTAATTCCAATGGAACTTATTTTCCTTGAGGTTTTTTAGTATTTATTATTGATTAATTCTGGTAAATCTGGTAATATTTTCCTCTGTGCAAAAAGCAACTAACCAACCAACAAATCCTTCAGCTCTAGATATATATGCATGAAAAAATACCTTTTAAAATTCCATTTATTACAAATGAATCTGTGCCTAAAACTGACCTCTGGATTTTCCCCAACCTTTGATGGAGTCTGGATTTCGGTTTGAATTTTCATGAAGTCTGGACTCCTTTCATCAGTTTCTTTGAATCTGATTCTTGATCTGCTTGATATACAGAAGCAAGCCCCTAAACTAGGTAATCTTCTGTACACTGGTAAGATTCAAAGGTAAAGCCACATACTGAAACAAGCATCTTTCTTGATTTAAGAATATTTCACAAAGAAAAATGTAGCCATGTTTTAACCCATGACAGTTATCTGCTTCCTAGTAAAATAAAATCTAGCATCGTGTGGAGGTGTGGGATGGTAGTGGATGGGATACCAGGAAATAGGGGTGGAGAATGAGAGAAGTGAATGGGGAGGTGGGTAAGTCTGCAGTACCCCCTCTCAGTCCTGCACTAGGACCTGAACCCACCTTGCATTGGGATGGAAAGGATAAGTCCTTTGGCTGTCTTTTTCAACAACTTGTCATGTCATCTGGCATGTGGACAATGCTGGAGGGGATTCAAAAACAGACCTGAGGACAGAAATCCAGGCTTGGGGAACTCAGCATAGGCAGGGCTGTAAGTAGCTCACTGTGAAGGATGGGAAATTCCTTAAATGCCAATAGCTTCTAAAAAGCTAATGGTTTAATAGGGCTGGAAAAGAGTGTGTTGGAAATTTCCTCAGACATGGTTATGTATATCCTGTTAGGAAATGGACAGGAAGGAGAAGAGGCCCATCACTTTCTTCTTAGGTGTTTATTGTAATCAACGTGGAACCAGATAACTTCACATGCCAAAGATTTCAGTGGGTGGTGACAACCTCTTTCCATATAACAGTAGAGAGAACAGGCCTTCAGAGTCACAGCTCTCTGTTTATTCCATTTTGGTAGTGCTTTGTTGCAATAGTAACTGCAAGCACCCAAAGAACCTCTAAGATCTACACAAGTATGTCCTTATTAAAACCATTACTTTGCTGGAAAGCTTTGCTAACATATGGTTAGGACTGCTCACTTGGTTCCATAAACTCGATCTCAGCGTAATTCAAACCTGTGAGAAAGCAAGAAATACAGAGGATAATAAAGCAATAGTCACTTCAGCCTTTATAGCAATGCTCAATATACATTTAATGGAAATAATTCACCTTTTCAGTGAGTGACTTTCAGAGAACATAGTGTATAACTGACTACTGCACAGGCACACCTTCTCTTTGGAAAAGTGGACTGTATTCAACGTGACACTTCCTTTTACATGCATGCTCTGACCCAATTTCCTAGAAACAATTCCATAATAATTAAATTTCATCTTTCCCCCTACTCACCAGATAACAGTATTTAGTCACATATATATTATTAAGCCCACAGAATATTTTCCCTACTTTACTTTGCACAAGTGCCAATGGCTAAAATGACTCTGTTTCCCAGTACTGAACTCAGTCATGAAAAGAGGCATGCAGCTATCTCAGGGTGTGTATATATATATATATATGTCTGTATGTATATTCTTTTGATGTCACCCACAGGAGTGATGAGCACTGTGTGGCTGAGCCCCCATCTGAAGGTATGGCTTCCCATCTTTCCTACTGTCATGGTTTACTAAGTCTTCCACCATTTGACACAGCAATAATCAGCTCAGCAAATACTGCCAGTTCCCTCTTTCCCTTGCCAGCTCCCAGGAGGGAAAATAAAGGTTGCCTGAATGTTGACCTAAACTCTCTATTTCCTGGCTTCAAAAAGTCAGAATTTTGCTGAAGCTGATATTTTATACGAGCTCGCACTACTGCCAGGAAAACTAACTCTGAATTAATTAAGGGGGTTTGTCAATTAGTAAGAAAGATGCTTTAAAGACACGAAATTCACTCTTTCCTTGATTTTTAAAATGTATTTGAGAGAGCATCTTTGCAATGTGTTGATCTGTGATTCAGGATTAGAAAAAAATTCTGAAGATACAGGAGTTCTGAAGTTTCTAGTAAAGACTAGCTGCACTAGTAGACTGGGTTGGGTTTTTTCCTATGTGTGAGGTGATAGTTTGGTTTTGAACATTTTCCGCCTGACTGGCTCTTTTATACCAGTGGTAGTGTTCATCAACATTTTGCTATTTTCTTTATTGCTCTCATGGGTTCTGCTTTTAATGACAGTCAGAAAATGCTGAGCTAGGGATAAGCTGGCTTCTTTAGCAGATATATACAAAGGAATCAACTTTTTTAAATGTATGTATAACTGTTTGAAGCTGCAAACAACGGCACCAGTTTTCAACTGAGCTCATCTCCTATCTCTTTGGGAAAAAAAGAGAAAAAGTTATCCCAATATACTCAGCAGATCTCACTGTCACATTTTACAACTGGATTTTCAAAAGTACTTGAGTGGGCTCTTTGCTTGAATCTCTCGGATTCAAGCTGCATATGGATGAAAGATAGAGTGAAGCTGAAGTTTTGACCTAGGACTACAGATAATCTGAGCCTTTAGTTCAAGTTCTCTCAAAACTCAGCCATGAACTCATCACTTAAATTTTCAGTTCTACAGCTCTGTGATAGGATGTGGCATGACAGTAATGTTGGAAGGATAACAGAGCTTGAAGGATAAGTGATGTCAGTGGAAACAGGGGATGCACACCTCTCACCCCCTCCATCTTCTAATGTAAGCTACACACCACAGTTGTCTCTTAAATGTGACTACAACTTTCTTGACCTTCCAGGATGGATAGAAAATTTGGTCAGTGGATGAATTCAAACAAAGCAGATCTTGATTTGGAAACAAATTTTACATAACCCTTGTGCAGTTGAGCAGTGCAGGAGAGACACAAAAGATTTTCAGGCACAGACAACTCCAACTCTCTTCCTGAAGAAGATTTCTGTGGCAACGAGTGATTAAGTGTGATTGAAGCCATGCAAAATATTTTCAGAGAGTTGTTTCTTCCCAGATCAAAATGGGCTTGCTTTTGAATTCATAAATTCTTAAACGAAACTGGACTTCTCACTTCTCTCATATTCCAATTTGTGCCCCCTTCCTCTCCCAGAAATAAGTAATATGATCATCCATTCACTAGAATGACTGCCAAAATGCTGGGAGTAATGGTTTTAAATATTTTTCATTTCAAGCTTGGACAGTTGCTCTAGATTTGTATGTTGGCTTCAGACAAATCCCAGTTCCCTTACTCTCCATCCTGCTTCATGTTACCAGAAAAAGACAGTAGAAAAGTCTACTTAATATTTTGAGATAGGGAACTGCATTCTTTGTGTTGTCCCCTAGCTGCAAACAATGAAGACATTGCTGCTTCCTGTGGGTGGATCACCATTATCTTACCAATCACAAGAAACCCAAAGAGACAGACACAGGGATATAAGCATTTGCAGAAACAAATGCATATAGTAAAGATATCAGAGGAAAGTAATACAGTCTGCTCTACTCCAAGACAGTAAAAATACTGTGTTTATGAATGACCTTAATAATGAATGACCTTACAGAGTACTCTAATATCAGAGACAACATCAATCAAGTTAAACATCTGAAGTCCTTTCCTGGCAGGAGGGACGGATGCAGTGTAGTCATGTGGAAATCAGTTTTGTGTATTTTCATGCAGTGGTGCTGCATTAACACATGGACTACAAAACTACTGCTATCTTCATTAATTTAATTTTCTTGTAGCCATGGTGAATGAGTCCTGTTTGCTAGGTCATACCTTTTTCAGATGGTAATCTGCAGTAACCAAAATATGTTCCATTTCATTTGTATCATCTACACAAACACAAGCTCACCTCTGACAGCTCCCAGGTTAGGGGCTTGATACACCCATCCTTTCAAAAGAGGTTGGAAAAGAGTTAAGTGCAATAATCAGAAGCAGCGGAGGAGAGCTTCTGCTAATGGCAGCTTTTACGCAAGTGCCCTGCCACCTGTGTGACTGACTGCACGATGCCAGCCTTTGCTCTGCTAGGGTATGCCTAAGAACATTTTAATGGGAAGGGGCCTGGTTTTTAAAAAGCCATAATTAGAGGGGAAATTTTGTTTAAAAAAATGCAGCCATGTTACAGAATATTCACGTATAACAGAGAAAAACATTTCCAAATGTGATTCAGTCTGTATATGTGTGTTTTTCCTCTACATGCACAGCAAGCCCTTTTTTTGCAAGAATGATATTTTTGTACCATATTGTTTTTATTAAGATCTAAGAGAGAGGTTTATTTTGCCTCAAAATCTGTGCTCTAGAGTAACTTCCAAAGTCCTAACTTTGGTCTCATTGAAACTCTTGCCCTCCAGATTTTGAAGAAAATGTGGAAAGCTGAACTGTAAACTTTCAAACACTGTAATTTTCCTCAGGTCTGGTCATGGAAGTTTGAGGCTTGACACTCAGTTTCTGATTGTTGGATTTAGCAGTACTATTAGCCTCAAGACTAGAAGGCTTAAAAACATTGGCTTAATGCTCATATAAGGGTTTGAGCAGGATGTTTTCCTTTATTCTTCCTTCCCCACCCCTATGTTAGTACCAAATTACATACACTGCTTCAGATTTCCAACATTTCCCAATCTGGATTAATTTACATTTGGAGAGAGGGTGTGAATTAAACAGTTATAAAAGGCTTAGATGCAGTGCCAACTTGTTACTATGCTCTTTCAAGCATCAAATGTTTTTTCTATTAAGGAAGCTCTCAGAGAATTTCTTGCATCTGGAAATCTCTCTCATAGCACAGCTTTTTTATCGAATGCAAAATAAGATGTATATAAACTAAGGCATTGATAGTAACACGTCTCATGGAGACCCTGCTGTAGTTGGAGGAGCTATTATACTATGGCCTGCAATAAGATGTTGCCTTCTTCGAGGAGATTTCAGTCTGAGAAAAACCTAGCTCCTGCAGGGATGGGGAATGCAAGGGAAGAGTTGGAAGCAACAAGGAGACAAGCAAAGGGCAGGAGGCAAACTTACAGCTGATGTTCAGAACTCACAGCCTTCAGCCTGAACTGCGCTTAACAGTCCAAAGTGAGAAGTTGGGCTGATGGCAATTCATTAAATACTGTGGGGATGAGTTCAGCTTCCATGCTACTTTTTATATGCCTCCTACTAGACAACTATACCTAGGAGTGAATATGAAGCCTGCACTTCTTTTCTGCAGGTCTTTTTTCTTGAATTTTCTCATATGTCAAGTACATACAGACATACAATTCCATTTTCTCCCAAAGGATGTGATATAATTTCTGTCCCCAGTTGGTTGCAAACATCACATTCATAGCAGTATTTTAATTAAAATACTAAAGCACTGGATGAAGCTGATTCAAATTTGGGTATGTAAAAGATGGTCTCATTCTCACTGTTATTGATACAGAGCTGGGTTAGTCACTAAGGATTTTGGTAGCAAATTGAATTCAAGGTCCAGGTAACTTCTCCCTTGCCAGCATTCACAGAAATCTCTCCCACAGATATTATCTTAATCAGCTAGCCTCTGCCAAGTTTTGTAGGCTCTGTAATAATTATTTGTGGATCACAAATTTCCCAGTGATTGTGATTTCCATCCTGATGCATTATTGGCCAACACATCCTTAACATACTTCAGTATGTCCATCTTGTGATCTTTAGCCTGCCTTAACATTCTGCTCACGGTTACCTGAGTAGGTGTCCTTCTTCCTACTAGCAAATGCAGGAAGGAACTTAGACCTGAATATGTAGTTTCCCTCTCATGGGCCTGTAGAAGCAGAGGGGATTCAAAGCTTTAAGGAGAATAGTTGGTGAACTTTTTTCTCCTCTGTTCACCTTTTCTAATGAACAGCTACAACAGTATTAGACTTTCTGCATTCCTCCTTTACCAGATTTTTTTAGGGGTGTATGACTGGTATTGCAGGGTAGATGCAGAGTACAGTTCATCTCCCACATCACCAGTACCAATGTCAGAGACAGCACAAATGCTGCCAGCAAAAGTCTTAGCTCTTCTTCCTTTTCTCTCTGGTTCTCTGCTGAGTGGGGAGAGAGTACTGCATCAGCTTATAACTCATCAAATGTGACTAATAGTTTTATGGTGCTTAACATATGAGATAAATGTGAACTGATGTGAACTGAAAAGTAAGGAAATTTCCAGGCAGCACGTTTTAAACAATCAGAAAACAATCATTTTAACATGGCGCTTAATACTGTTGTGACTCATAGCCATCAGTTGTAGCAGTAGAAATGGATAAATGTGCTTTAAAAAGACTTGAAAGATTTGTGGAGGATGATTCCACCCTTGGCTGTTAAATATGACCATCCAAATGCAACTTCCGACTCAGGAAACTGTTCAGCTTTGCCAAGAAATGCCACAATATTCTAGAAGAAGAAAAACTCTTTTGAGAGAAACATTCCCTAAGCATCGACCTTGGTCTCTGTTGATAATGAGATGTTGTATGGCATGAAGGTTCTTATATTTTTCCTAAAAAATCCGCATATCAGTAATGTAGTGATTAACCTGTATCTTACAGGAGCTAATCTACACGGACTTTTACAGTTCCAATAAGTTTACTACTTGCAACCAATATTGCTGGATATTGCTGGATCCTATGCATTTAAATATACCTATGGTTCTAATAATTCAGGGTTTACCCAGTACACAGTCTGTATGCATTCTTCTCTGCCATGGCTCACCAAATAAAAATGGAAATTTGTAAACAATGGAAATGTGTCCACACTGTGCTGGCAATGCTTCTGAGTCTGCAATACAGAAGGCAGGCTGCAGAGAGAGAGAAAACACTGGTGTGCTGCTGCACCTCCTGACGCAACTCACAACGGATCTGGCTATCTTTGTACTCATGAAACAGTCACTGAAAAAAAAAAAAACAACAAACAAACTACTTTATCCAGTGATTGCACAGCCTATGCAGCCACACTGCAGCTGAGGGGAGAATCATGCCGATAGTTTGGAAAAAGGTTTCAAACCCAAGCTCCTCCAGGCAGGAGAGAGCATTCGCTCCTGCTCAGCCTAGCAGGCTCAGAGCTTTCCTGAAACACAGAGGTTAAAATTGCCACTCCAAACAGTCCCACCCAAGAGACTGCCCTGAAGCTTTTTACAGGGAAAGGATTTAATTAGAATGCAATTTTCATGGTATAATGCAATATTTGGTACAACAGGAATACCAAAATATATGCTTTGTGATTCACGGTGCAGGTTTGTTTAGGCAACTTTTAAGATGATCCCTAAGCAGAGAAAGGGCAAAGGCACCAGAGAGGAGGAGAGGCTTTGCTGAGCAGGTTTGAATGTCATAAATGCACAGTTATGGCTTAGTAATTGTATCACAGTTGACAGATGCTGCAGGAGTCACATGACTACAACATGACCTCATATTTCGGCTCTCTCCCCTCCTCCCCCAGTGATGAGGGCAGCGCTGGCACTTAAATAAGCAGAAGGCATTTCCAGAAGGCTAGTTTGTAAGTTACTTAAAGGAGAAGCCTGAATTTTGGCACAGAGATATACTTTGTACAGACTATTAAGCATCTGCTCAACAGTGGCAGTGAAGCAAAACTCTTTATCTCCCCTTGGGAAGTGCACTACAGTTGCTATTAGGGTAAAAATATTGAATTCCAAATCACATGAGCTTAGATCATCCCTTCACAAGGAAAAACCTGCAGGAGGAACGGTAGAGGGAAGAAATGCCTCCATGATCAATCACAGGATTACCCTGAAGACAGTGGAGCTGCTGCAAGCTCAGATGTCCTCCGGGGATGTGTGAGAGATGATGCA